TTAAATACTTAAAATCTTTAATAATCGCTGAAAAACTTTGAATTTCGCAATATTTTAAATACAGAAGCATGCATTTATAAATGCTCTTTCTACCAGTTATTAATTTTGCATAGTTTATTGAAATTTTTGAATAAAACAACAATTCGAGTGCTTTAGGTCCTCCAGGCTCTAATAAAGCGGAAATTTCAAAGCGTCTAGCGAACCGATATGATGGTTTCATGTATCTTAGCATGGGTGATTTGCTTAGGAAAGAAGTAGAAGCAAATGCTGATGATCAGTTATGGCAAAGAATTGGGAAAAAAATAAATGCCGGTGAACCGGTGCCTACGGTAGCTATTTTTTGTATTTTATTCTGAAAGATAAGTTAATTTTGTTTCACTTTTTAATTTTGCATTGATTACCGTCTTGAAAAAATTTGTTTTAAAATTTCACACTTTAATGTATTTATCCAGAACCTTTTTTAATGCTATTTATTTTAGAAAATCTGTCGCGAATTGCTTTATTCAAAAATTTACGATGAGGATAATGGCAGTAGTGGTTATGTTATTGAAGGTTATCCGCGAGCAAAGAATCAAGCTACCGATTTTGAAAATCAAGTTGTAAATTACTTAATAAAAATTCCAGAAGGTACAAAGCATTTTAAAAGGAATGAATGAAATAACTTTATTTCAGATTGATCGACTTACTTTAGTAATTTTGATCGATTGCACTGAAGAATTTTGCACTGAAACTATTAAAAAACGCGACAAAGATGAAATGATAGCTAGACAGGGTAAGTGAAAGATATAAGCATAAAATGTTGAATATCTTAAAATTTTTAAATAGAAGGTTGCAACAATATTATTGTCACATTAAATAGAAAAAATAGAAATTTTCTAATTATCTAAAAATTTTTTTTTAATTTTTGTAGACGACAATGCGGAAGCAATAAATTCTCGCTTACAAATGTTCAAGCAGAATACATTACCAATGCTGAAATATTTCGATGATAAAGGGAAACTTAAAGTGGTATGTAGAGTTAAATTTACTCTATTTTAATATTACCTGAGATATTCTGCGAAAAAAAAAGAGCCTTAATCTAAATTGATTTAAGAGTATCTTATCAATTGGTAATATCTTGATAACAAGTTACCGTATTTATGATTTAAATAATAAATCATTGGTATATTCAAATTTTATTCTTCTATCGCTATACTTTGACAAATTCCAAAAATGGGTAATTGCACAAGAATGATTATTGGTGTTATTTCACTTTCCTCGTAATTTTTTTAACACAAGAATTGAAACCTTTTAGTAGAAATTCAATTTTTCCCAGGTTGATGGCGATAATAATCTTGATAAGATTTTTGAGGAAATTGTTGAAGAACTCGACGGTATTATTCTCGGCAAAAGTAATTTTTCAAAAAAAAAACTTAAAAAATTTTTTTAATCAAACTGTTTAGAATAATGAGAGGTGAAAAGTTTCTCAAAAATAATAGCACTTCTATTTTATGCTACAGAGTAATTTGCAATTCCTATTTTTTACACATTCGGATAATATGCCGTGATGGATTGCATGAAATCACATTAATTACTTAATAATTAGGAGTACTCGAACTATCAATTTTTACAGAACGAGAATGCGACGAAAGCCATTAGTCATCAGAAGCATTACGCAAAAAAACGGAATGATAAATGCTTTGTTGTATGTAAGTGAATATGCATTGATAATGATTAACTTTGATCTGCTCTTTGTGGATATTTTGAATTATTTCCGAAATTTTTATCATGAATTAAAGTGATATCATCGGAATAATGAATTCAACACCCTATGAAATGCTCGAAGTAAAGAATGACAATAATGGGAATGACTAAGAACTTTCATTACTATTTTTAAATTGAAGAAAAATCTTTTTGCAATATTAAATAGACGAATAAACATGATAAGTAAATGGATAATTTAAATAAAGCACTATCGCAAGAATGAAACATATCAAAAATAAGTGATATTTCACAGTATTGTTCACTCTCATATTTCTGTAAAGGACTGTAACAAATCATGCAGATTTTTAGAAAAATAGTAAAAAAAAAATTAAATAACACGAAATGCCCACCTAAATACAATAAATAATTCCAACATATCACTTCAGCAAAAAAAAATTGAATTGTTCACTCTCACATTACAATAAAATTGAGTTGAAAGATGTAGAATGAGAAAAGGAACAATTCAGAATTGGTAAAAAGAGATAAGTCCAGAAATAGTATTGAGAAATTATTAAATTATATTGGGATACTTTTAGCCACATATAAATTTCTAACTCAACAATGTATTATTGTTTTTTTGTTTGTTTGAAATGAAAATATTTCATTATCTCAGCATATTATATTATCTCAGAAACATATTATCTCAGCAAGAAAAATTTTGCATATTTGATTTTCTTTTAATGCAATATTTCAATGAATATTTTTTCTAGTTTCCTTATTATTTGAAAATGCTTTTTTACTAATACATTTAAGGAATTTGATTGAAATCAGACGCTTCAAAACGAAATTCATTTCTAAGCATTTGACGATCTATTGAGAAACAACAGGATAAACAAAAATTAATTAACAAAATCAACCATCTAATTAAATAATGTGCGTAACGATTTCAACAATTTAATTGACAAATTTAAACTTCAGTAGGTGTATTTTGTCGTAGCTGTGATCCAGGACTACCATAAACATTTTCGGCAGAATGATTCTGAGGTTGTGTAATTCGAGCACGTGCCATCGCTCGAATAGGTAAGGTCCCGTCAACCAGATCTTCGAGAGCAGGTGCACTTTCATAACCGGTCCCATATAGCGGTGACTGTGCCATTTGACTTGGTACTGGTAAATTACCTTTTGAAGGATAGAGAGACTAAAAAAAAAAATTAAATTTTTCTGAACATAAAAATATTCAAAAATATTTTTTTTGATTATTTTTTTTTAATTTATGGAATCTTCCGAAATTTTGAAAAAATTTCTTCAAAATACTTAAATTTTTACAAATATAGCCGAAAGCGATGTAAATTAAATTGCAACCTTTATATTTTTTCCGAAATTTCCGTAATATTTTTTATCCGTTTTGCTACTGATCAGTAGTGCTTTCTCATCTGAGGATACACTTGACGTTTGCTTACTGTCATTCTCTATCAATATGTTTTGCTGTAAAAATTAAAAATTTGAAATTCATACTACTTTGAATGAAATTAAACTTTTTATTTGAAAAGTTTCACTTTGACAGAATTGCAGCAATACTTCACATCATTTTTGCTATAAAATAACAGATTACTTATTAGAAAGAAGAAATCTTAATAACAAGCAATCTGAACCTGTTTTGAATAAATCCGGATCAATTCGTTGACAAGATCCCGCAATATCCTGGCATCAACATGCTCACCGATAAATTTCAACAGAAGTACACCATCAGGTCGAAGGAAATCTTCTACAAAACGCTTCATATCATCGCCATGAAATCCGGACAACTAAACATACGCAAATCGATATCAAAATTCATTTTATCATCAAAAATTTTCATTTTTCATTTCAATCTTATTTTAATTATACTAATAAAATTTAATGAGTAATTTTAAAATTAAAATGTTTAGAACGACAATTTTATAAAAAATATTGTTTACTTAGAGCATATTTTATAGCAGTAAGAATCTTAAGTTTTTTAACAAACATTGAATCAAAAATAACAAGCAAATAAATGTTTGTGTGGTAACAAAAAAAAAAAAAAAAGGTTAAAAAACAAATATCAAACAAATACCTTCCATTCACGCATGTTAATATTCCACAATACCAATTTCGCACGTGCTTTTGATATACACATCACAAAGAGATAGTATACAAAATTAATTAGCGTGCAAATACCTATGAAAATAAACCAAAACAAGAGAAATAAGTAAAATTTCTCATTGATCATATTCATCATAATAACACATTGTACTGTATGACGCTGCACATTACCCAGACGACGTACCTGAAATTGAAAAAAATTCATACTTTTTCCTGAGATAATTATTAGATGATAATTATTGCATGAGTTTTTTAAAAATACTTTGAAATTTTATAAATTCAAATAAAATTATTGAAGAAAATTAAAAGAAAAAAAGGCCAAACCTGGAAGTCACACATGATTACACGTGGAAATATTGATGATTCCATCCACTCTTTTCCAGATATTACATCCGTTATTGTCTATAAAAACATTTTTTTTTTTAGTCTAACATTCGATCAAACAATGAAAGTATTACTTTAAAGTACTTAATTCAGCAAATTAATATTGAAATATCAGCAAGTAAGCAAACATTTTTATCTGAAATAATCGACAAATACTGGCTTTCTCGAATAGTTTAGAACAATGTTTCATATTTTATTACTAAGTAGTAAATTAATTCTAATTTCAGTTATAATTTGATGTTTATTGATTAAAAATTTCATATCACCAACATCACTAATAACTTCACGTACTGTTATCAATTATGAATAAGTCTAATCATTGAATTATTTTAGAAATGAAATTTAACAGATACCTGAAAACCCCACTGCACATAATCACCACCAAAGAAATGATCTAACATGTAAATCTGACCAACGATGTTTAATACATAAAGAAGCTTAGTTAGCAAATACAACATTGTAGCATTTCGACCTGATCGGGCAAATCCCTAAAATACAAACATTCAAATTTCTGAAATGTATTAAAAAAATGAAATTGGTCAATAAAATTATCGTAAAAATAGAACTTCTAATTTTTCCTCTAAAAATAGTATATATATATATATATATATATATATCACAAAAATCTAACCATTCTCGAGCCTTCTTGAGAGCTGAAAACTGATACTGTATCGCTGATGTATTCGGCCAAATTACGAATTTCAACATCACGGTTATGACCATGTAAAGTGGAACATTTCTTAGCATCCTTTACTATTCCATGCGGTTGTATTGCTAATAAAGAATTCGGAGTGTGATTTTTGGATAATGAAATTTTAAATAAAAAATTGCAAAATTTTGAAAAATATGATAATGAAAACGTTGAAATTTTACTCATCAAAGATTTAAATAACTATCTACTTCAAATCATAAAATGAATGCTTTGGTCCACATCAGATCAATATAATGAATAATTTATTTAATATATTTCATATTATTAAAGAATAGAGAGATGCAAGTAGACATGACTATAAATTGTTTCAATTTATCATAAAAAATTAAAATTCTGTTTTCCAAAAATTTCAAGTCTTCAAAAGTAAATGAAGATAAAGCAATTGATAACAAAAAAAAAAATTTATCCATTACTGATTACTGAAAAATTACCTGTTTCTTTATATAAAGTATTCCAAAAATAGTTCGGAGCGAAAAACATTAAAGCTTGTAATGCTAACACTATTGGCACCCACTGAAATGTAACAAATTCAGCACTATTTATATGCTTATTTCATTTTTACAATTTACTTTACTAGCAGTTAACTAAAATTCTATTACTCTCGAATATGATAAAATGTTTAACTTCATCATGTTTATTTCAAATAGTTGGAGAAAGTATTTGTACCCGATAATAGCTGATCTGATCTTTTCGTTCATTTAGTTCTTCCGGTATCTGTTCCGTAAAAGGAATATAATATGAATTCTGAATAAAGCAGTAATCCTCCGCATACTTTTCCCAACCACCTAAAAAAGTTTTTAAAGCGATCCTCTTTTTTTTGAAATTTATAATCAAGTAAATAGACAATGAAAATTATAACTGTTTACCTCGAAATTCCATAGGTACCCAGCACTGAATTGGTGAGCCGAAATATTGTTTTGCTGAGATAGCCAATGCTACTAAAGCTAATAATAAAGATGTTGCATAATAATTCAAAAAATCCACTCGATCAGCAACCGCCTGTGGCTTCACTACTCGATGGATATATTCTGAGATCAATGGAATACCAATCATTTTTGTTTAAATAATCTAAAAACTTTAACTATATTTAAATCAAAATTTAAATGAAGCCTTGATAAAAGAATAACATAATCAGGCTCTATACTATCAAGTCTTTGGCCATAAAAATTTTAGCAGACATATTCTGAATATATGTTTGATTTAATAATTGTTTTGCTGAATCTAATAATCAAATATTAAATCAAAAAATTCTTTTTTTTTGGAATAAAACTGAGTCGAGCAATTTGCATATAAAAACAACATTTGCTAATATAAAACAAGAAAATAGTTTTAAAAAAAAATTCTGACAATTTGCAAAATTTTAACAGTAACTTTTCTATTAAGGAAAACAATTTGTTCGATTTAAATGATTTCAATTTCCAATAAGTAAATTTTAAAAAAATTTTAAAATTTAAAATTAATTGAAACTAAAGGCAAATTGAAAGATTGTTTCTACACAGCTAAATTCTAAAAGCTAAAAACAGTTAAATAAAAAATTATTTAAGAAAAGAAAATATTTCTTGAATTCCTTTCATTCTACCTATTTCGAAAAATTAACAGTTAGCAAAAAAATGCATCGGAGGTATCAAATGAAGTATAAAATTGTGCAATATTGAAAGAGCACAGCGGTTTTACAAATTGTTTTGTGATAAAAAATAAGCCTTTTGACGAGATCTGTTAACGATAGAAGTTTAACGCATTTCCAATAAATGTATTCAAAAGCAATTGATTACAATTTAAATATTTAATTTTTGAATTAATTCACATGAAACTATAAATGTTGGAAATTCGAAAAGTTGCATAATTAGTGCTGAAATAACGGCTAGCGATAAATAGACGTGGGCTTCATATTTTCTTCCAAATATGATTTTAATCAAAAATCAGTTCCTCCATCAATTTATTAAATCATTGATATTTTCAGCTGAAAAATTTTAATCTTGAAGTTAGTTGATTTCGTTGAAATTTCATTTCCACTTTGCAACAAATATAAGAAATTGTCATATAAAGAATACCTAAAGAGGATAATTAAAGTGATGAAATTAAGAAAATAGTTATGCAAACCTTACAGTATTAATTTTGACTTAAATTTCAAATCTTTTTTGTTTATCACGATATTTGTGTAATTGAAATAAATAATGATTGATTATTATTCTAAGTTGGATTCGATCTGTTGCTACATTACATTTCTTAAATCATCCCATATAATCTATATATAATTATAAAATGTTATTGCAACCTAACAATTTAATAAAATTATTGAACAAAAAGATTTAAAAAGTAATAAACAAAAACCAAAATCGGAGAATACACAAATTTCTCAAAACTGGAACATAAATAATTGAGCAAACATGATAAGAAGAAGTGAATAATTCTAACAGCAAGCATTTTTAATGGGTCACACTTGTCCACCAACTCAATGACTATTGTTGACCTTTGTCAAACTGCCCTCCAGTTTTCTTCTCTCATCCATCGATCGATATATTCATTAAGAAACATAGCAGGCGATATAGTACACGAAATAATGCCAAAGAACGGCTAATAATGAATGCTAACGAAAAATTTAAATAGTCACAAAAATCCAGAAGAGAGAAAAAACGATTTATAGCCAAACTTTTCAAGAAGAAAAAAAATTATTCATGCTTAATACTGATAACAGAAAATAATTATTATTCGCAAAAATTTTACAGATATTAATTACTTTTTAAAAATTTTCGAAAATAAAAGTATCTGCAAGGAGAGCATAGCTATATGAGAAAAAAAAAACAAACATTAATTTGTAACATTTTGAAATTTTTAATTTTACATTCTGTAAATGCATGAGTATACTGCACGAATGTATTGCAAAGTACAAAATGATAGTAATAATTAGATGACGAGAAATGGCGGTGATTTCTTTAAAATTTTCCATAAAATGCCGTTTCATAAAAAGTAATTAAAATGACGGAATATTGGATGCTTCGTTGATAAAAATAATTATAAAATTTGGTGATAAAAAGCAAACAACAGAAAATGAAGTGAAGAAATTTTTTGTTTCGAATCAAGACGGGAATGAAATGTAAATATAAACAGGTTAAAGAATAGTATGGAGTAAATAAAATATAGTGAAGAAATCCATCTTTTGAGTATCATCGATAGAGAGAGAGAGAGAGAGAGAGAGAGAGAGAGAGAGAGAGAGAGAGAGAGAGAGAGAGAGAAAGATCTCGATCTCTTTCACTCTTTCCACCATTATACTGTCGTCTCATTTCATTCCAACCATCCTTCACTAAACGGTTCAACTAAAAAAGAAAGGAATTGTGGTCTTCTGTCCAATGCTAACTGTGATGCTTCTTGTTGTGGACAGACAGAGACGCATATTGCATACTGCTAAGTGACAATGAGAGAGATATATCATTTACAATTTCACATATAGCATTTCATATTTCAAATCGATAAATGCTATTCCTAAATTTAAATTTCCAATTGAAAAAGGACTGAAGTTCAACAGTATTTTGAATGTAAAAGTTTAAATGATCTGATCTAATAGATCCAAAAAACTTTTCATCTGATACTTGCATGATTTCAGTTTCAGATCAATACATGAATTTTGTTGTCAGTTCATTTCTCTCTTAAATTATATGACATTTCATTTCATACTTCATCTTTTCGTTTATTTTTCCTGATTTTCATTTCATTTTAGATCTCTTAAAAGCATTTATATTCACAAATTTTACTCTCAAACTGATATTCCACGACTGAATTAATAAATATTATTTTGTCTCATATATGCATTTACAATAATCTTTCGAATATTTTTATTCAGGTGTAATTACTTGACCTTTGCCTCGTGCGTTGATCATATCACCAGAAGGATGGAATAGCTGTTTTGCATGTCAGGGATTGAAAGGAGTATCATATTATCTTCATTCCCTTAACTTAAAAATAAATTTCGGTCGATAATTTTCAAGTTTATAGTCGTACTAAATAGGTGGCAAAGGAGAAAAGCAATAAGTTCAAATATTTAATGCTTAGTTTTATTTATTCCCATTTACATTACAGTATCGACTTAATTCACAAACTTGAAAGTGATCGAATGAAACATATCATATGTCAAATAATAGTTCCGGTGGTATTTAAGTATGAATACAAAATAGAATGGTATTTGCCATTTATAGAGAGTAGTGATATCATCGTCAAGAGTTTATCTAACTTCTAATGCACTGATTGAAGTTTAGTCGTCTAAATTCGACTGGTTGTAAATTCAATAAAAATATTCAACCAACTTTCAACAAAACAAAAAATGTCCAACAAAAAATGTTCAACCAACTTTATCAGTTGTCTTTTGAAAATATGTTAGCAAAACATTTTATCAGTGATATGTAATACTATTTCATCAATTAGCAAAACATTTTATTAGTGATATGTAATACTATTTCATCAATCACGAGTACCGCAACTTAGTGCTGATCACATGAAAGATATAAATCCCTCATCGTATCTCTTACCAGGCCGAAATCCACGGCCTGATATCATTACCGCCGAACGCGATGCCAATGGATACTAAATGATTTCATCATAATTCCTCTTTTCAGAATTTATTTTTTATGTTTTTATGATAACTGACATTCTTTTTGCAAGAAATTCATAAATTTTATTATTAAAATTTTGAAATTTTGAAGAAATCTCGTTCATTAACATACATATTTTCTAGCAGCAATTCTTGATTCTTTCATTTTTCATTTTAATTTGCACAAAGATCAGAAAGACTTACGGTAAAACTCTGAACATTATCCAACCCGAGAGCTGACCTCAGAGATCGCAGATGTAATGCCTTTTTCAAATGAGTTTGCTGAAATTTTCACAATAAAAATTTCGCATACTTTGAATTTTTTCATAATCAACTGATTTGCACTACTAAAGATGTATGACAAAAGTTTGAAAGATGTTCTGGTATTTGAATTACGAAAAAAAAAAGATAAAATGACCGAATATACCTGACACTATAATTAATGAATGTCCATAAGGTATATCGAGATGATCGAAATGACAAAATTGAAAATTTAAATTACTAAAGATCATTTGCTAAGCTGATTTTTCAAGAATTTTCATAAATGAGACGTTATATATCTATTAATTCTTGCAACTATTGGCACATTTTGCTTTACTTCATTCGAGTTAGCTTTATCATTCAATGAAAATCTTACTTTCAATTCCGAATCATCGAAAATGCTAGTGACATAACCTGCTAACAAACAGCGACAAATCAGCACACCCAGCAGAATCCTGCGGAAATGAGTTATCGATGAATGAAATGATGATGACATTACCACGAATTTGGCTCGTACTGAAAATTTCTTTTTGTACATTTATTTTTCTTTTCCTTTTGCCTTTCAATTACTTTTTTTTTCTTTAATTTAAAAAATATATGAAAAAATTTTAGCATACGATGAAAACTAAATTATATTTAAATTGAACCGAAATAAAATCCAGAAAACTAGAATTATTATTGAAATTAAGATCATAGCTTTATTCATCGATATGCTCCTAATGATCAATTAAAAACTTTTAAATTTACTTCTGAAATAAAAGAGAAATATGACTAGAAACAATTCGGAATTAAAATAAAATTAATATTGAAGTGCTGACGAGTTTTCAAATCTCTGATCGTTTTTGAAGTTAAGAAAAGTTGGATGAAAATAAAATGAAAGCATGAATAGAATAGTTGAACATGGGCGGAAATTTTAAAAAAAAAAAAAACTGCTAAGCTTATAATACCGCCTACCTTATCAGGTAATTATCATTTCATTCATTCTCAATCATTTTGTTTGTAAATGAGCAATTAATGTTACGATTATGTAACGGACACAGTTACGCAATTTAGCACTTTTGCTTCTGCTTATGTACTTTGCTTCCTATTTGTCATTGTTGTCGTTTAATTTTAGAAGAAATTTTACACATTAAAAATCATTGGAAATTTTGCAAATGTAAATTTCATATATTCATATAAGTTTAAAAGTTAGTTTTTCATATTTGAAAATTATTAGGATAGCTTTTTTCATTTCATTATATCATTAGAAAAATTGCAATTTCAATCGTAATTGTTGTCTGAACTGTAATTTCATAAATATATATTTGCACAGATAATTTCATCCGCTTTTGTTTCATATTAAAAGTTAATAATGCTAATTCCCCTAGTATTTCTATCTTCAGATTTTTAAAATTCCAAAATCAATTGTCGTAGAGGAAGATTTCATTAATGTGGGTTTTTTTTTTTCACAAAAATATGATGAAAAATGAAATGAATGAAATGATGCGTTATTTTAATTTGACTATTATGTGAAGTATTTTATGAATTCGATCATTAACCTTTTCATTTTGTTTTATTTTTTTGTTCAATTTCAAATGTCTGCTGAAAACAACAATTTGAGTATTAAGTTAATGATTTAAATTTGATAACAGAAGAGAAGGAATCCTTCAAGGTTCATTTGTAACCTTCACTAATGAACCATTGAATGGCAGACTGATGATATGTAAATGATAGTTCAATTCTTAAATAAATTACAAATTTATTTTTCCAATAAAAAATTATATTGTTGCTTTTCCTGACCCGAGCAATTGTTTACTGTAAAACATTGCATTGTTCAAAAGATTATGTTCCACCCTCTTATCACAAACCTTCCTGTTATCAGTGAAGCTATCAGTCCTTGTATGCATGCTCTTCTTTCTGCTTTTTATACTATTACCCAAAAGCGCATTTATCGCAAGCTATTACAAAACTTACAGTCGAATTTTTAAAATTTGACATTACTTAATATACCTAATTAGCTCGGAATATTTTCTCCATCTTGCCAACGTTTTTAATTTAGGTTCACGCTATAAAATCAATCCACTTTCAAACAATCTAATATAATTAAAAAAAAAGTTGTTACCAATTTCCGTGTTGTGTAGTAATTTTGCTAATAACATTATTTTTGATAAAAATTTAAATTTCTTTTGCTTAATTAAAAAATTTCTATTGAGAAACTTTCAAAGGCCTAGTTTTTTAAAGCCTTTTTTACGTCTAACTGTATAAGTATATAGTAGATGAATTTTTCTGTGGTATCATAAGCGTATCTTTTGTAACAAAGATAAATCTTTTCAGTAGCGTTAACAAAAGTATATTTCATGAAAAGTAATATCCTGAAAGTACGATTAGGTGAAGTAATTTGAAAAGTCTGAAAAGCTATTAAATTTCAAAAAATGCAGGACAATGTAGCTTTATTCATCTGCCGGATTATGTATCTCTCACTAATATTTTTGAAATAATATGGTACTTTTCAAATTAGTTTAGTTCGTTTCATTAACGTTAGTAAGCTAATCGAATTTTAGTTAGCAACGAGTTTTAGTTAGTAAGTTAGTAGGCTAATCGATCCATTCTCGTTAACTCTTGCTAATCTGATTGAAATTACCACAATAAAAGCGATAATCACACAATAATGAAATGATCCGAGTTGGCTATGCTTAATTTACAATACATTTGGCTAAGATTAATGACAGGAAAAGTTCAAAATGGTCTAATGAATTTCAAGCTGGAAGGTTGAAATTAGCGAGAATTGATATTTTAAGAACAATTATTACCTCTGATTATAAAATGTCTTCATTTAAAGCAGAAAGAAAACAATTTTTCTTGGTCTAAAATGCAAATTTTGAAGAGAAATGAAAGAATGACAATCTCGAAAAGAATCTTATGGGAGTTTATTTCGAGAAAATTTCTTTGCTACAATTTAAACAAATATGTGCTACAATGTGTGCTACAATTTCTATGCTACAATTTACAATTTAAAGATTAAAATAGAAATTTTCTCAAAAATTGTTTCATTCATATTTTGTGGCAGGTTAATCTGTGGTTGGTTCATATAGCATTTTTGACATTTATTATTATTATTATCATTGGTGCTGCTGCTTCGCTGTGATGAAACATAAATCGCCAGCCAAAATAACACTTATAGGCTCAGGCAGTTGGGGTTCAACGATTGCGCTAATTATTGGACGGAATGCTGAAAAATACAGAAATGATTTTGATCCAAAAATTCGTATGTGGGTTCATGAAGAAGTGATAAACGAAAAGAAACTTACTGAAATTATCAATACGCAACATGAAAATGTGAAATATTTGCCGGGTAAAAAATTATCACCAAATGTGATAGCTGTTGCAGACTTAGTAACAGCTTGCACGAATAGTGATATACTTATCTTTGTGATACCATATCAGTTCGTGGAAAATGTTTGCATTCAATTAAAGGATCACTTGAAAGAGGGCGCTTTGGCTATTTCACTTATCAAAGGTTTTTTGATTGATAGAAAAGAAGGAGTGATTCGTTTAGTGTCTGAAAAAATACGAGAATTGCTCAATATCGATACAGCAGTTTTGATGGGAGCAAATGTGGCTCAGGAAGTGGCAAATGATGAATTCTCTGAAGCAACAATTGGCTATAAAGGTCAAAAAGATAAATGGCAAATGTTGAAAAAATTATTCGAAAGTGATAATTTTCGGATTCATTTAACCGAAGATTCGAATACAGTTGAATTATGTGGTGGTTTAAAAAATATAGTAGCATGTGCAGCTGGTTTTGCTGATGGTTTAGGATATGGAAGTAATACAAAAGCAGCTATTATACGATTAGGATTATTGGAAATTATTTCATTTATCGAATTATTTTATCACAGTTCAAATATTCAAACATATTTCGAAAGTTGTGGAATAGCTGATCTTATAGTAGCATGTACTTCTGGCCGTAATCGTAAAATATGTGAAGCATTTGTTAAAACCAAAAAATCGATCCAGGATTTGGAATGTGAAATATTAAATGGACAAAATGTTCAGGGTCCAGCAACCGCTGAAGCAATTTTTGTGATGTTAAAAAAGCATAATATGATATCAAAATTTCCATTATTTATTGCGGTATATCAAATATGTAGGGAACAACTTTCACCAAATCTGCTAATTGCACGTCTACGAGAATGCAAAGGTGAACTACCAAAAAATTGGTTGAATGGTCAACAATTTTTTACCAGATAAAACAATCAATGTAAGCAATAAATTTCGGACAGATCACTATAAATTATCCTTTTTATAGCTTCTGATTTAGATCTAATCAGAATTTTATGCTAAACTAAGGAGACTTAGTTAGTGATATATGTCAACCGTATCCGTTATTTGAATATCTACACGCTCATAACATACCACAGTCGATCAAGCATCAAATTAAATTTTTTCAAATTAAGACATCTCTTTTCTCGTTTATTTGAAATTGAAAATAATTCTTGCACTGATTATCCATAAATTTGTTAGAATACCTTTTGCCGTTCTGGACAGCTTCTTTTTCTTGTTTACTCAAATACTTTTGAATGTTTATACATCAATAATCAATATAAAAATTTCGTTTTTTCAATGTCTTTCTCTTTATCCCAGCAGAAATCTTAAATTGCTTTACAGCATTGAGATTTGCTGAAGATAAGAATTTCCTCATTTTAATACTAAAAAATTTGAAAGTTTGCTTTTTAAAGTTAATCTGAAGAAGTTGAATAAATCTCATTACATATGTTTAATTCTTCTTCAAACAACCGATTTTTAATGTTTGTCATTATTTCTAATGGATAAGTGATGGAATAGAAAAATAGGCAATATTTATTTGTTACACTGATTGCCGTTCCTTAATTATAAATTATTGATCCGTCTAAAAAAATTATTCAAATTTCGATATGGTCGTTCATATATCGAAATTTGAATTTTTTTAAAATGTGCATCACATATATATAGTTGTGTTCTATACTCATATTTATCCTATACTTCTTCACCTTTCTTTTTCATGTTATGTATTTCTATTAACCTAATTATGCAATGAAGATGTTGAACTTCATACCTCAGATGAATGAAGTATTCAAATCGTTAGTTACGAGAAAATTTAATACATTTCATCTTATAATTACATAATATGGTCCCAAAATCGGACTTTTCCAAAATAATTCCAGCTCATTTCGTAATCAGGAATTAAATATAACGATGCATTTAATTATCATTTATAATAACTTCACGATCCAAACAAATTTACGAAGTGGAATCATCATTTTGCCATAGCATATTTTTACTCCATAATGAAATCACTGCGATACCCGTTGTTTACAGGAAATAAATGGAAAACATGAAAACACAAAAATTAATGCAGAAATGCAAAAACATAATTCACGAGGCAATAATGAGTGAGGGTTTTAGAAACATGTCAGCAGCTCCAAAGCAGGGAATATCAGGACATCACATGTCAACTTTAATTTTTGGTAATATAAAAAAGGTTACTCAACTTTCGTCATTCTTCACAAATTTTCAGGTATTATGATCAGTAACATTCCAGAAAGTTAAAATAGTTCTATCATTTCAATCCTTTTAATGCAATTTTCATTCCAAGCAAATTATAACTTTTTGATAAAATTGTTATCAAGCTTCTACTCTGAATTTTCTAAGTATAAGTTTTTTTTTTTCTAAGTCTAAGAATACATGACATCCTATTTCGACATGAAAACAAAATTTCCGTCGTCACGAACTGCCTTTAATAGTTTTACTGGTGAAACCCTAAAAATGACTGCTAAGTCTTCCAATGAGCGAGTACCATCACATAGTTTGGCTATCCTGCAAATAAATTTGAAATCCAGGTAGTATAACATTTTCAGAAGTCATAACATCATTTTCCGGCATATAAAACTTCATATCAGAAATGCAAATTAAATACGAATAATAAATTAAAGAAAAAGATAATTCTGTTTCATAATCTAGATCTTTTCTTAAAATTCGAAATTTATGCAGCGACGAGAAACAAATCTATGAACAATTAAATGAATAAATAATTTACATGTCTATTAAACTGGGTCAAAAATCAAATACCGATAAATTTATCTGGAATAATTCCAGTTCTCTTATTCATCAAAAGTGCACTGAGCAAAAAGATGAATTCACCTTCGCAGATCGCCTTTCTTCACGGAAACAGGATAAATACACAACTTTCGAATAAACCCATGGCATATACCAAACTGTATCGCACGTCTCTCATCAACATTGTACTGCCTAGGGGACATTCGTTGACACCAATCTTTCATTGTCATACCTATCTGTAAATGAATTGAAAATAAAATAAGTAGAGATGGTCCAGATAAATTGTTATATAACTGCAAAACAAAAATTTTGATTTACAGTCCTAGTTTAAAGACTATTATTAGATTGGCTTTAAGAAATATACCTTCAAACTAGCATATAATCGGAATACGTCGGCAAATAAAGGTTTTGGACCTGAGCTTTCTCCTTCATTGTTTAGCGGCCGTATAAAATCCAAACATTCATGAAATGATTAGCAAACAAATAAATCTGATGGAACAGAGATAACTTGAAAACAAACTTTGATCTGGTAGTAGGAAAAAAATTTAGAAAATGTTAAGAAAATATTTTCTTTGTACATCTTCTAAAAATCAAATAAGTAGGCAAAAGGAATGACTAAAGCAATACAGAAAAATGTGGTTATTGACTGAATTCTTATGTATAAAAGTTGCCTTCATATATGCCTAATTTAATTAATGAAATTACTAAACTGAATTCTATTGGATTTTAGATTACAGGAAAAGCAAGATATTCAAAAAAATACTACAATACTAACTTCGATCAGATTAGCATTCATATAAAAATTATGTAGTTGTTCGGTAGCAATATAGGTGTTAGCATACATAAAGAGAGGTATTAATGTCAGGCATCCGTAGAAATGTAAATTACGAACGCACCGCATCACCAGATCAGTATCTATTTGTACCATCATGGCAATTTCTTGAATGCAGCGCACACCATCCACTTTGAGACAAATCTGAAGTCAATAACGAGCTTTCCTTCAAATTCAATTCATTATTTCTACAATACATGCTATTATTATACACATTTGCATCAATTTCGTTTATTATCTTCAACTATATTTACTATTCTTATAATAAACAAATTCATCAGTACATTAGCTAAAATAACTACGGCTAACGAAACCTGAGTGATGCGAGATACTAACTGTTACAATACAACTGAATTGCAAAACTCCTACTGACTAAAGCAAAAATTTTTGAAAAATATGAAGACCATAATAATCGAAAGCATTATGAACTGAGGGCATACTTTTTGTGAGAGAACATCCATTTTTGGGATGTGACTTGGTGTATTAGGTGGTGGTATTTGTGTGAACATCGGCACCATATAGGGCTCCACCTGCGAATAATGATTGTTTTGTAGAGTTTTACATAACTTGTTGAATGCCACGACATTAGAACACTAATTGTGCCCAAAAAATCAATTTGCCTCATCATATGCTTATGCTAGTCTAAATTTTAATAATTAAAAAATCTAACAAAACCTAACAGGTGTCCATAGAATTCTTTATATTACCCACATTGAAATTAGGGATGTATGGATACATAAACAACCTACTTTAGGCGGCTCAATACCATGAAATGAAGGACATAACTTTAAGTATATAGTTGTCTGATCAGTAACAGGAATCTTGCATTCACCTGGAAAAAATCTATAATTAGAGAAAAACGGTAATGAGTCCACCAAGAGTATAATAGATCCATAATAAAATCGACAGATATTACAAACTCTTTTCTAGTTTCCAAATAAAGACCAATGAAACTACTGCCTTTCTGTGACACATGATATTATGCAAATTAAATTAGGTGAGCTTTGGTTTTACGAAAATATTTCTGAAATCTTCAAGTCAATTTTTACTGAAAAAGCAAACATATAAAATCTACGTACCATGCTCATTGAGGCCTTCGAATATGTTCAGCAATAAATCTGGTAGTTTATCCTGTGACTGTGACAAAAAACGCGTATCCTGAATATTTTCAGTTATATCTTGGCTAATTAATGGAAAAAAAACTTTCAATTTAATTATCTCAGTATTTTAGAGGTCCTTCACCTTTTCCATTTGTGTTAGATAAGCCGCACATTTCTGTACCATCGGTTCGTATATACAACTATCTTGACCATTTTTATCAACCACAAAACAGATATTGAATATATAGCGACCGCGAGCATATGAATCAGATTCTGAAAGATTTTTAATATCTGTAAGGATATTCTTCCCTTGATATAAATATTCTGTAAACTATGAAAACTGAATGGGCTCATAATATTTCTAGAGTATGTCATGCCAAAAATCTCACATTCGTAACCAATGCAGAAAGAAAAAAACTATGAACAATCGAATAAGAGAGAAAAGATCAGTTAATGTACAGAAAGACAATTTCCCCTACTTTCATGAAAAAGTTTTTTAAACAAAGAGAAACAAGCAAGAATATTCTGATTTTTCTTAAACTTATTCGTGAAAAACAATGATTTTTAAAATATTACTAAACTGTTTCTAGGAATAATAAGGGATCAAGAACAGTTCCAGGAGTGGGTAGTGAATTTAGTCGTTGGTTAAAATATCTTTTTATAGATCATTTTTCCTAAAATTCTTTTTCCTTCACAATTTGCTAGTAAGAAAAAACCATATATAAATTTTATGTCTCGAAAAAATAGTTCATAATATGCTCGTCAATAGTGTTGCACAACATTTATAAAACAGTTGTTTGCATTCATTTATGAGAAAGTCGCTTGTAGTGAAACTGACGATCATTCCCACGTACATATAAGTCAGAGAAGTCTTAATTTTTCATAAATTTCAGAAAGTTGACTCAAAACTTATTTGTGATTTAATTCATTAATGCCATGTTTGAACAATTTTTTACCAAATATAGTGACTCATAGTTGCTTCTGCAGTATTTTTACAACATTGCAATAGAACTAACCGATACCAACTGGGTGTCCCATCACTTTGTATACCTTTCCATCACTATTTTCAACATGATTTACTTTAATTAGTCTATGAAAAAGTTCCGGTTTAGGGATGACAGCATTTGAAAATGTATCAAATCTTTTTGCATCGAAAAGAAAGCCAGGAACCTGTAAAACTAATGACACACGATTAACATCAATTTTCAGCAGTCTGGATAAATGTGATATGAAATAAGACTCAGCAGTTAAAGTTATACTATTCATCCCTGTAAGGGATCGAGTTAAATATAGTAACACCTGCGAGAATGAAAGGGAATGGAGTTTTCACTAACTTGTATCCTGATAACTGGACCTTTGTCTGCATCGAATTCGGCAAAAATGATAGCCTTCAACTTCGGTACTTTGATCAGTTGAGAATGGTAAGTGCTCGTTGCAGCGTACATTGATATAATCGAAAATTTCATATAACCTAGAAGTTGATTTTCCAAAGTCTCAAGCGTATATTTTATTATAAATGACAAACTCGGAAGTTTCAAAAGCTTAAAAAATCTCATCAGTATTAAATTCTCTAATTTAATGAAGTAAAGAGTTTAACATCAATGAGAATTTTTAAAATCCTTCAGTATTAAATAATTATCAAATCAAACTGAAACCTTAACATCAAAAAAAAATCAAAACAAACCACGAAAGTTACACAAATTTTTCCAATTTTCGTTGCTTTTCCAACCAGGAAAAAAGAATTTTATAACTACTAGCCAAGCACCCAAGAATACCACCAATCATTGTACCGAAGACACAAGGAATGGGCCAACGCTGAAATTTAAGATGCAAAATATCGTTTAAAAATGTCAGGTAACTATCGAAAGATGGCTTACGGTAAATAAAAGAATGATTGAAGAGTCCTAGAATTAGTGGAATATAAATATATTTTAAGAAATCTGACAACTTACTTGCCACCAGCGATCCCAGTCGAGAGGGATAACAAAAGCGCCGAACCACGCACCGAAAATGCCACCAAATGATAAATAACGAATAAGTAAACACTTATGCGACAACTGCCTAAACTTGCTGATTATAATATATTGTGCTGATCCCATAACACCAATTTCATAAAAATGATTCAGCAAATTTTCTTCTGTCTATTTAATGAATTTCCATAGTTCTAACACATCAGTTTTAACAACATGTACAAAATACATATAGAATTAAGCGAATAAAAATTACAGATATAAGTGTCAAGAAACTAGATTTCCTTCTTCCGAAAGGTGTTTCTCTTGCTTTCTTAAACTTCTTCACTATCACAGAGAGCGATTCTCTCGTTTCATTTCCTGTTTTCAAAAAAAGCATCCATGGTTTTGAATGCAATGTTACAGTTATGTGAAATAATTAAAATTAAACCTCTCGCCAAATAAAATACTATCCAAACTGTCGAAGTCTTCAGCAATTAATAGCAATGGAAATATACTTACTATTGCAAGCACTATCGAAAAAATGAAATTTGCTCCAAAATGACTGAAATCACTAATTATGACATATTTATGACAGCAACTATAAGTTTCGTGCAGTGAAAATCCTCGTGAGTTTCAGAAAAAACACAAATTAACTAACCTTAAAAGTGGCGCTCCAAATAGAACTGCTGTAATGTAGATGACAATCACACCTAACGCGGTATAACTGATAGCGCGACTCAATTTCATAGAAAAAATAATCACTCAATTTCTGGCTCACTTACTACTCTGCATAGCTGCATGAAGATTTAATAAATAATTATAATGTTAAGAACTCATCAGATATAGGAGCGATATATATTACATAATATAATACATCACAGTGATAAACCTCATATGACAGGCACAGATTGTTGCTGATTGCAGTGGGACGAAGACTTTAAGAAATTCACTCAATGAATTATCAGCAATTAAATTTTCATATTAATTTATAATGCAGAATAGAGAAGTTAATGGATGATCCATAGAAAGTGCATCAGAAGAGAACTATCATTCGAACGGAATGTTTCTGAGAAATAAATGTGTTGCATATATCAATCTTGTGGAAATAATATAGATGCAGGATTCTTTTTATGTTTAAAATCCGACAGAAAAATTCAAAAGTGTCAAACATCATCGGACTACATTTAAATGGATTTTGAATATGATTCTATTGAAATATCTAAAAGATCATTTTGTAATTTTATAATGGCAAACTTGAATCTCTTCAAAATTAATTTTACATAAAAGAACATACTACATGCCTTGGATACTTCAGTGAATAAGCTCTAAAACAAATTTTAAAAATCACTAGAAGCCAACCCCCTGCAATAGCCAGATTTGGTCTCACATAACGCTATTCGCGTTAGACAACAATGTTCATTTTGAATTATTTTGATTGAGTCGTTGCGGAATTTCTTGTCCCATTTCTTAAATCGCTTTCTTAATGATAGGGTTGAGATGGAATAACTGTAATATAACTGTAATAAAAACTTCAGGAAACGAGGTTACTGTACAGAGTTTATATTAAATATATAATTTTTTCACCTGTGCTTTATTGATGATTTAGTTGGGAATAACATTATCATACTACTCCTCCGAAAATAAATTTTTTTTTTTGAATTTGTTACTTAAATTTTTGCTTACTTTGAAACTTCTTTAATACACTGACAAATAAGACACTAATTAAAAAAATTGACTATATGAAAGTATGACATAAGTATAAAGAAAATTCGTTCCTAACATGGTTGAAATTTTTAGCAATAATTCAAGAAAAAACGCATTGTAAGCAACATACCTTAAACTTCGAAAAAAATTCATTAAAAATTATTTCATTTATAGAATGTCTTGTTTCTCTAAAATTTATTCGTTTTCTTTAACAGAAATCTACATAAAATACTTGAGAGGTAAATTGAAACATAGGAAAATGTGTCAAAAATATTGAGGCCGAATACCTATACTTGGAAGTTTTCAGCAATCTCAGCTGAAAACTTTCCAAAAATTTCTTTTTTTTAAATCTCTTTTTTACAAAATTTAAAGTCTTTTTTTTACAGAACTACTTATGTGATCTATTTATATGAAATTCTTGAAAAATTTTTGCTTATTTTATCTGTTCAGAAAGCAGACTATTTAAGCAATAATAGCAATTAAGCTGAGTTAAATTTTTCAGTTGAAATCTAAGTTTAAAATTTATAAACATCCTTTCGAATATGTAAATCTCATTTTTTATTTCCAACATTAATTGAAAGTTTTTTCTTAATTTTACCTCTAAAACATTCTGATATAAACTTCAATTTTATCTGAACAATAATCACAGTGACTGTAAAAAAAAATACAAAAAATTGGTTTAATTTTTTTTTTATTAAATATTAATAGAAATTCGTTTCACATGCTTGGATGCAAATCCAGAAGTACTTTTACAGTTTTGACCAGAGAAGTGTATCTTCTAGTAGATTACGAAAGTATGAATTACCAAAGTAGTAATAGAATGTTTTGGAAAAGTTTTACTCTTTAATGCTGAAAGTTATCAATAACTAAATTGAAGGAAATTTGGAAAATATTGTAGACGATTAATTAATTTTTCATACAATTTGCGCCTGACCGGTTCTGTTGTAACTTTTACATTACTGTGGAACATATTGCAAGTTTGGTTATAATTTAACTTTTTCATTTTTTTCCACCTGTCTACGTTTTAGAGTTTGACAGAAATTTTAAGAGAGGAAAGTCACTCATAGTTTTTTAGTGCAAGAGCATTGTTTATATCATCAGGGCGTAAATTTACAAAAATGAAAAAAAAAGACAGGGTGAAGATTCATATTTCATAAATCATATTAGCTTCAACTGCTGTCGGAAACCCGAAACTAAAATTAAATTATTTATATTTTAGCTAATCATGTTAATTATTTATTTCTTCTAATTATAAATCAAATTCCTTAATGATTCATAAATTGTAATGTGTTAACGAATTCCTATGCTAATCTGATATGTCATCTAAACACTTCC